TATAACATAACATAATGTTTAAGGACAACAAAGGGCCAATTCATCCATCTTGCTGTCCCATCCTCTAAACTAAACTAAAACTATAAAATAAAAATCTTAAAGCTAGCCCTTATCATTCATATAGTTATCAAGCTTTCTCTTAAACTCACTTAAATTTACTGCCTCCACAACATCTCAAGGCAACCCATTCCAGAGGCCAACCACCCTGTTAGAAAAATAAAATTGTGTTAGTTGAAGATGACACCTACCTTACCAAAATCTTTATTCCCAAAACATACTTACCTCATCTCAAACTACAGCTATTACCTGTCTACTAGGGTTTCCTTCTTTTGCCCATCTAAACATTGGTCCGAATTTTTCTCGATTGCTCCAGTCTTTTATTCCTCACTTAATTGCCCTTGGTGATATCTCTCATGTGACACTGTCCACCTACGTCAATGTGCCTTCTATCCTGTTACTGTATATAAGCATCTCATTCAGATAATGTTGTCACTTTTTCTTGACAAAACATTCATTAACGGGTTTCTCTGTACTACGATCATTGGAGATACTTTGAGCATTTGTGTAACCTAGTTGATTTTGATAAAATAAAAATTGTTGTCAAGCCAATGTATGGCATGAATTCCCAGATTATTGTTTCTGGCATGGAGATGCATCCCACCTTTGATATCTAGCATTACTCAACATTTGGGGAGGGGGGGTCAGTTTCACTTGAGACTGTCAGTATTCGTAGTGAGTTGGAGAAATATGGATGTTTCTTTGGGAGTCTTTGAGGATGCATTTGAAGGCGATCCTGGACATTCTAGAAAGAATTTAGATTTGCTTTTTCCTACGCCTTCCTTTATTCTGTTGGCTTCTCAGGAGGCCACTTTGGGAGGAGCCACCTCTGGCTTCTTTACATCACTGTCTCTTTAAATGATGGTCTTTTTACATTGACTTATACAGAAAACATATTGACAGACCACAATATCTTCACTAGAAAAACTGCCTCCCCATTCACATTAAACAATATTATCTGTAGTCAAGCACCTCCAATTCAAGAAAATTTATACTGATGAAATTAACTACAGAAAACACACCAAGAATCTAAAACAAACCATGTTGCATATAGTCTATAAAGATGCCAAAAGTGACAGACAGATTGAAAAAACTAAAAACACTCAATGAAAAAACTGTCTTTAAACATTGTTATTACCTATCACTTTAAACTCAGAAACTTTTTGCATACATTTTAATTTATAACAGCTAAATGATCATTTAACATAATATGTAACATTTTAGGACAACATGGGACTTATTGGTCCATCTCGGCTGTTCTATCCTCTAAATTAAATTAAAATAATTATTAAAAAAAATCTTAAAGCCAGCCCTTATCATTCATGTACTTATCAAGGCCAATCACCCTGTTAGAAAAATGAAACTCTTTGCTAAGGATGACTTCTACCCTACCAAAATTTATATTTGTGTCCCCTAGTCCTACTATTCTCACTGTTAAATATGAAAAAAGATGATGTATCAATTCCCTTTACAATCATAAACACCTCAATCAGATCCCCCCTAACTTTTCATTTTTCAAGGGAAAAAAAAATTGAGAAATTTTAGCGTCGCCTCACATGACAACCACTCCATCCCAGACACCATTCTAGTAACCCTTTTCTGAACTCTTTCCAATAATTCAATGTCTTTCCTAAGGTAAGGAACCCAAAATTGAACACAGTATTTCAAATGTGGCCTAACCGGTGACCAGTACAATAAAATTATAACCTCTTTAGTCTTGTATTCAATATTTCTGTAGATACAACCTAAAATTCTATTTGCCCTTCCACTAGCAACAGCACATT